GAAAGGCCGAAATGTTGTAATAAATATGGCGACAAAGATGAGGACAATAGTCTGAATAATGTAAATAATGTACATAATACCTGATCTCAGAAATATAGACAGATACTGAAAGGCCGAAATGTTGTAATAAATATGGCGACAAAGATGAGGACAATAGTCTGAATAATGTAAATAGTGTACATAATACCTCATCTCAGAAATATAGACAGATACTGAAAGGCCGAAATGTTGTAATAAATATGGCGACAAAGATGAGGACAATAGTCTGAATAATGTAAATAGTGTACATAACACCTGATCTCAGAAATATAGACAGATACTGAAAGGCCGAAATGTTGTAATAAATATGGCGACAAAGATGAGGACAATAGTCTGAATAATGTAAATAGTGTACATAATACCTGATCTCAGAAATATAGACAGATAATACTGAAAAATTGTTTTAAGGGTAAGATTGTATGAATTTCAACCGTCAATGTCATTGGCTGCTCAGTCAGTGTATCCCGGATGTTCCATTCCATTTGTTCCTTATTTAATAATTCTGTCGATTTAATGTATATTTTCAACTTCTCGCTAAATGCACTGACACTACACAGGTCTTAGGCAAAAACGATTGAAAGCAAACGCTTTAATTTTAGGCAGTGTACGAATCTATTAGAATTATTCTCGGCATAAGTACAGATCAATCCATAAATAAACTCGTCAAAGGATATAAGTAAAATAAAGTTAAATGATATAAGTAAATAATGACGTTATTCTTGTTGTCTACTAGTCTAATACTAAATATAATATCATGTATTATCTTTATTCTATTGTAAAATATTCTTATTTGTGTTTAAAATGATATAACCCTGTGTTTATCTCAACTTTCTATTTTACTCAACTCTCCTTGAATTTTATATTTGATTTGGTGGCAACTTATTTGCCTATCAGTTTTCTCCGTTTTTTCTTTTACCATTCAGAATTTATTAAAGAAATATCCTTTTAATATTCTCAACTATTTTAAGGAGCAATTTTTATTCACACCTTATACATCTTCACTATTTTGGAATTCCTATTGATTCATCCAGTTCAGTTTTATTTCGAGACAATCTTTTTTTATTGTTATTTATTCATGCATCTGTAAGTTCACAACAGATGAACAATTCTCATCTCTGAAGTGTTAATAACAACATCTCTATAAAATCTATAAAAATTTTCCATAGCATTCTCTCTGACCTCAAGAATACTGTGATCTGTACCGTCTCGACCCTAACTCGGATTTCCGGTTCATCTAATCTCGATTTCAACTTATTTTTGTACGGTTCCATGTACTCTTGTTATTATGGGCATGACTCTAACCTTCACATGATGGTCCTGACATTTTTCTAACTTATTACTCTCCTTCATGCTTTATCTGTAATCAAACCGACAATCCCAAGTACACGATCTGGCAAACTTTTTACTTCTTAACAAAAATTTCTTTCAGATTTTGTAGTTCTTAAAACATCGACATTTTTCCCATGCATTCAAGTTCATCATCACAAATTTAAGCAGAATTTTACCTCATTCATTAACCAGTTCCGATCACATTTTGCTTAAATGAATGTGCATTTCATACATTTTCTGACAGCAATGTGCATTTCATACATTTTTGTGACAGCGATGTGCATTTCATACATTTTCTGACAGCAATGTGAATTTCATACATTTTCTGATAGCAATGTGCATTTCATACATTTTGTGACAGCGATGTGCATTTCATACATTTTCTGATAGCAATATGCATTTTATACATTTTTCTGACAGCAATGTGAATTTCATACATTTCTGATAGCAATGTGCATTTCATACATTTTTGTGACAGCGATGTGCATTTCATACATTTTCTGACAGCAATGTGTATTTCATACATTTTTGTGACAGCAATGTGAATTTCATACATTTTCTGACAGCAATGTGCATTTCATACATTTTTGTGACAGCGATGTGCATTTCATACATTTTTTGATAGCAATGTGCATTTCATACATTTTTGTGACAGCGATGTGCATTTCATACATTTTCTGACAGCAATGTGAATTTCATACATTTTCTGATAGCAATGTGCATTTCATACATTTTTGTGACAGCGATGTGCATTTCATACATTTTCTGACAGCAATGTGCATTTTATACATTTTTCTGACAGCAATTTGAATTTCATACATTTTCTGACAGCAATGTGCATTTCATACATTTTTGTGACAGCAATATGCATTTCATACATTTTCTGACAGCAATGTGCATTTCATACATTTTTCTGACAGCAGTGTGAATTTCATACATTTTCTGATAGCAGTGTGCATTTCGCAGATGCAGCATTAAAGACAATTCAAAACGTCGAACTTTCACCGAGTTCACGCGGAACCAATTTTGGAACTTATCGAGTTTCTTAAATTTGCCAATTTCCTTGAGAGGATCCAATATGATCGAAATACCTGAGATATTTCATTGACACTTTGACGTGGGTTTTATTCGACTAGTGATTTCAGATGTTGATTGTCAATTGCAGAGGGACGTTCTCTACAACCTTGACACTCAAGACTCGTATCCCCACTGAGGAACTTTCGAAACCAGCCCCGTACTATCCGATAACAAGTGCATCTTTCACTCAAATCTTTCTTAATGTTGTCACCAGTGCTTAATGTTGGTACAATCTTGAAATCAGACAAAAAATTAAACGCATCACTTCTTTTTTTCATGATCAAGTTTATTATTATAATCATACATTATAACGAAATTAAAAGTTTTATTCTAAAATCGGGTGTTATTTTCCGAGCAATCATTATCGTTTTTTTTAAGTTTTTCTTATGAATCTACTACGTTTGCTTATCGTTAAGAATATGGTTGCCGATAATTATCGGCTGCCATAATCAGAAATAGCTATTTCTCTAAGAATAATCTCTCTGTATTGAATTAATTTTCGAATGCCATCTGTTTCTCCCTAATACAAGTTTCGGATTATTTCTATAGCTTTTCCATATAACTTGAGCTTTGTAACATTTCAAGAAGTCCTCGGTATTGTAGTCTATCGAAGAACTTCTTGTAATATAAAAGGACGTACCATACTTTCTGCATTTTATTACTTGTTCTGACAGAATTCTGACTATGGAAATAGTAATTCTTCAGCCAGCATATTAAAAAACAAAAGAGTTCAGTGTAAAATGAAACTATTAGAGCTCAGCGTTCGTTTTCCAGCTTGGAGTTTAGGATATCGAACGAGCAGGTCGATGAATTGTTCGATGATTGATCGGATGAAGAATAATATATGTAACTACCTCTACAGTAAGTTAGATTCGGTTTTATCGAGTGATAATAGCAAGACTGATTGCTACAAGCGCAGGAAGCCAGGGATATTGTTTCGGGAAAAGCGATGTTTAATATCTGAAACGGAATTGGTGACACGGGCTCTTTCGCAATACATATCTTATCAAAGGCCTCGTCACAAGATGTTTTACAAAATACAATCAGATGACGTCTTCCCTGTTCCTAATATCTGTAAACGAAATACTTTTATTGTCACAACCCTATAGAACATGACCATAATTATTTATGGATTCAGTTCCTTATCTTGGAATTACCATGATTTCTTTTAAGCCATTTTTTCCATTGCATTTATATTAGATCTGGCTGCTATCCAAGATTAGAGACATTCTACGATGCTATTTTATCCATAGTGACGGTAAGGGAGAAGAGATCGATTCATGCCTTTCTTAGGAGCGTTAATGCGAAAGTGAATGCATCAGAAAAGATTAAAATTTGAAGTCGGTACGTCAATTGCTTACAGCGGCAATGACAGTTACGCTACCCACATATCGAGTCTCCAATATTATTTGTTTCTGATGTAATGAAATAACCAGTGACCCCCATGAATGATTACACTATAGGTAGCAAGTACCTATAAAGTCAACCGTCTACGAGAGACTCGGAGAAGAGTGAGAGCGAGACGACACAATCACGTCTGACCTTCCAATTAGTGGCACTCACTACGAGATTGACCTGTGTGTATAACTGTACCGTATTTCATATTGTACTGGTTGTGTACAATAAACCTTTCTTCTATTATCCACCTGGTGTTAAATATTTATTCCCTTAGCACGGATTATAGCAGTTTCATATTATTTGGGGCGAAGAGGAGTCCGTCCAGAAAGCTATAATTTCCATATTAGCAACACCAGTAACAGATCAGGAAGATCTTCAAGATAGACCCCTACGTCCCAAGAAATCTCAGCGACAATGCTATAATGATATAATGTGTCTTATATATATAATGAAAAAATAAGTCATTGTCACAAAATATGTTTCGCTTATTATTTGAGTTTCAACTCAAATAATAAGCGAAACATATTTTGTGACAATGACTTATTGAGAGAGAGGAGAGAAAGATAGAGGCAAAAAGAGAGAAGGAAAGAGAAGGAAAAAGAATGAGGGAAAGTGAGAGAACGAAAGCGAGAGTGAGAGAAAGCTGTTATTTTTAACACATGAAAAAAATCGACTGCGTATGAAAATATGTAGATTAGACTTGGGTGGGTGTGTTTGGTTTACCGAAATAAAAAGGGTTCTCTTTTCTTTCTTCTGTCAGTTTTAATTTGGGCTTCCCACTGATCAGGCGCACGACAAGAAGACAGTCTCTGACTTTAATGTTGTAACAAAGCGACTGTTCATTTGTTCAAGCAGCTGGAATCTCTCGATTGCCCAGGCAATTTAGAAAGTCGAGAATAAGACCCGGAAAAATCAACTTTCATTTAATAAACGTGCCGTACTTCTAATCAAATATCCGACTTATGTATTAAAGAATCTCTTGACAAGATGAAGGTTCAAAAAGATCTCTTATCCAATTACTGAGCGTTCTTGCTTAGTTTAATCTTATATTAATCATTATATATCTGGCAAATATTATTAATCAGAAGAATCACTCCCAGGGAGACAGTCTTATTGAACCAAGAAAAATGTCGAATTTTATTAAAAGAGGCCCGGAA